GAAATTTTGAAATGTTTAGAAAACTATAAATTTATCAAAATATCTCATAGATTTGTGCTAGTATGGGTACCTTACCATCTTCAGGTCATTCTAACACTAAAAACAAACAGAAAAATTAACCTCGAAAAATGGAAGAGCGGTTTGTGAAAGCATCATTTTGAATGGCTTGTGCAAACATGAATGAGAGGTTTAAAATCCAATTTGAATTCAAGGGCTGAACGTTTGGGTATTTGTTTACAAAGAATCGAAATTTCAGAAATTTTGATGAAAATTAAGTCAGCCGCGCAACCGCGTAAACGTGGGCTTTTTTTCGTTCAACTCGCAGCTTGAGTAACTTTTTTCACAACACCATTGTTAGTTTAATCACCCGAGCAATCACTCATGCATGAAATCAATCGTGCATGAAAAAAGTTACTCAAGCTGCGAGTTAAACGGAAAAACAATTACCCAAACGTTCAGCCCAAATTGGATTTTAAACTTCTCATTCATGTTGGCACAAGCCATTCAAAATGATGCTTCCACAAACCGCTCTTCCATTTTTCGAGGTTAATTTTTCTGTTTGTTTTTAGTGTTAGAATGACCTGAAGATGGTAAAGTACCCATACTAGCATAAATCTATGAGATATTTTGATAAATTTATAGTTTTCTTAACATTTCAAAATTGTCTACTTTTTTTTTATACAGCCTGTATATATATATATATATATATATATATATATATATATATATATATATATATATATATATATATAATATATATATATATATATATATATAATATATATATATATATATATATATATATATATATATATATATACATATATATATATATATATATATATATATATATATATATATATATAATATATATATATCATAAGATGATCATAAGCCAACCGCATCATGAGCTACGGAAGACTTATCCAGTACTAGTTTACCTTACTCGCAGTTCGTCTTATTTTCTTTTAGACGTATTAAGAGAGAGAGCTTTAAGCTTTGCTTTGTTTTGCTTTATTAAGCTTTGCAATATAAAATATTTACCCGGTGTACCTACAAGCTAATTTGATATCACCATGCAAACGTACAAGAATATTGTTATACAAAAATTACTGTTATATTGTACCTGCATATAATTTGATATACTATGCCTGTATTTCAGATTGAAAAACTAGCATCACAAGCCGTAATGCGCAAAAAGCAATGCGCAAATAACTAATATACCGTATTCTCCCTATGGCTATTTTACTCTTTCAAGTGAATTCAAAACAACATTGTAACATATAACTGCCTGCAGAACCTGTGAGCTGCTCATGTTATAGACATGCAATTGTCAATTCACTTCAAATAATCTCGGGTAATCGTAGATATTAAAAAACATACTTCACGTAATGCGAGAAATTTATTACCCTCGACTGCACCCTCGACATTGCGAATCGAAAAATACGATAAAAATCTACCCTCGACTTTATCCTCGACCTCACTTTCGACCCTCGACTTTCTACCCTTGACACTCGACCCTCGACCAAAACCCAATTTGATAGGTACATAAAAGCATGTGTGAATTGATTAGCATTTCTCCCGCTGCGAGTAAGCCAGTTAAATTGAAAAGTAAATATTTGTAGGACATTCAGTATTGTCCAGCAATGATCTAACAAAAACCGCAGTTGACATAGGTCAAACCTTGGCCTATCACTTTTGCTAGGGCTGGGCGTTTTTCAAACGCACGGAAGACTGCCAAATATAGCTTTGATAAATTTGTTATTTACATGAAACATTACTTCATTCATCGGTAGTTGCTAGAAACTGTTAATAGGAATGGTTATTTTTTAAAATAAAAATTATGGTTAAACAAACAACCATTTCAATCCACGTAATTTCTCACTGAACGAAAAATACTTTGTGCATGTTCTTCATCCAGGTATGTAATTATGCTTTCCTCTTCGTGAAGGCTCTTGTTATTATTTCTTGTTCAATATTTAGTGATTTAGTGCATGGCGTTAAAGGCTTGCTTTAAACATTTCCTATGTTCGGCCACTCAGATAAAGTATCTATTTTATTGTGAGGAGGATTGCCAAAAATAGCTTTCAATAGCTAATATAAATAAAATATTAAAAAAAAAATTATAAAACAGAATTAATAATCAACGCATTTTAGCTATTCTTGTAACAAAAAAACTCAGAGGCGTTGATCCCTGAATACGAAAAGTGAGGTGATGAAATGATGAAAAGTGATGAAATGATGGTTTGTAGGTTGGTTGTACGTACAACAGACATCAAATTGGCATAAATTATTAACATAATAATTAGAACAAATAATTAGGCCCTCCCACCGACATTTAAATGCAATATGGATTCTATATAGAAGCTTTTTGGCGTCTTTACATTACGCTTTCCTTAATTAGGTCGCATTCGTTGGTGCGATAAAACAAAGTGGATAGTTACGAGGTGCCTAAAATAATACCTACATTCAGGTTAACTTAGATAAACAATTTGGTAGGTTTTATACTGAATCTGGGCATAAAAATTTTTATTTGCCTCGCAATTCCAGCATTGCTATGTTTGTCTGTACACCACTATTTATATAACTATCTTTTATAATCGACTATCTAAGATTCAGGGCAAAAAAAAAAAAGAGAAAATTTCCACTGCCTTTGAAAATTGAATGATTTTTGAACTTGATGACTCTTGTTGAGTGGAACACACGTAAAAATATTTTTTTGTTTATATATGAGTTCGTGATCGCGTTATTTTAATGTTGAGGGGATAAATGTAGTAATTTAAATATTAGCTATCACTTTAGTTGTTACATTTATCATATCGTTATATACGACTTCAGTCATCAGTAGAGCTGAAGACGGTTTTGATATACATTAAGTTATTTGACCGAAAAAAAATGGTTTTAATTCACGATAATCTATTAATGATAATCTATCCACACTAAAAAGATTGATCGTTATAACTTTGAGTAATTTTGGACAATAAGACATATTTTAGGACATATTTTGTTGCTGTTCAACCGAAAAAACTAGATCGCTACAGTACCACGTTCCAAAATGTTAAATTTTGCTTTTTACGTTGCTGTTCACTTTCTTGACTTCATGCACACAGGCATTGATTGACATGAAAGACAGGCTCAAAAATAGAGTTATTCATATCGAATGCTATTCATTGCTCGAACGTGGACGTTGGTTGTCGCAGAATGATAATATGGACGCTGACGGCTCGAGAATTTGTACGTCGACCAATTAGCTGAGAGAGATGAATACTACACACCCAGAATTCAATTTCATTTGAGATTTTCGTATAATTATTTTTCATAATTATGCAACTCCGTGTGACCATATAAGTCAATACGGTTCTGTCTTGGAGCATCTTTTTATATTAATTTTGATTTATTCGTTTTTCCCTTCACCGACAACACTTTGTGACAATGACAAATACGTATGTATAGAGCCTCTTTCTCTTCGGGACTATTATTTAGCTGCTGGATTTCCAGCCGTACGATTTTTGCATAATTCGATTCATGCAAGGAGCTTATATCCAAAATGGAATCCATGCACTTAAAGGAATTTTCAAAAATTCGTTACAACCTTTGCCATTCACTGTGTCTTAGGCTACCTAATATTTTTGGCTTATTTCCCCGATTTATTTTTTAAAATTTTAATAAATGTGCAATAAGTAGGAATTCAAATTTATTATATTCTCTGGTTCAAACTGGACCCTAATTTATAATGCCCTCACATACGAAAAAAGCCGCAACGAGGTAAAGGTGAATTTGTGTTCATTTTATACGAATAGTGATAACTTGCACATTTTAACGCCATTATTACGACATAGATATTAAGGCTTTTCCAGTTTAAAAAACGACAAACATTGGAATGAAAGTATCTAACGCCATGTTAAAACAATGTACATAATATATATTTATTGCATCAAATGTGGTATGACAATTGCCTAAAATAGGCAAAACACTTCTCGACGTTTCGACCTGAGGGCCTTTGTCAGGAGAGTTAGTATGAAAATAAATAGAGTACATGTTTTGTATGGGAAAACACGTGATAAAAATAAGCCAATAAAAAACAAAAAATCCGAACAAATTGGAATACATTACATTGCCAAAGAGACGCCTGATTGTGGGCTAAGAAAAGGCCGCAAGGAGAGAAGCTTGATCAGCAACGAAAACATATTACAACAAGCTTTGATGTAAACAAAGAAAAATGAGTCATTTTGCTCAGGGTGAAGTTGCTTAAATGAACGAAAGAGAGTCTTTAATTAATGCCAGAGGGATGGAGAGTGCTAAGACTGAGGATGAGTTGCATGTCTTGTCGTTTACGGTTATCGTTGGTACCGGAAATGGGACAGAGGGCTCTATAATTTTCATGTCCGTGACACAATGATTACCACATGTAAAGTGTCTGGCAACAGCCTTGGTTTTATCGTGATTTTTGACCGATCTACGCAGTGTGCACCAACCCTTACCCTTTCAGATCTTTCAGTTTCGCCGATATATAGTAAACCGCATTTGTGGCAATGGATGCAATAATTGAGGCCAAGCTGTTCCCTGGTTATATTGGAGCGTAATATCTGTTTGCAAAATATACGACTTTGTTTCAGATTTTCCGTTATAAAACGTAAAAAAAAACATGATGCAGCATTTAATTAGCTATTCAACTTTTTAAAAAAAATGTATCCTCCAATTACTCAAATTGCGAGTAAATTTTCGTTCACGCGGATTTATCCTGTGCTGGTTTGTGTAATGAAACAGTTATTAAACAGCTTCCTATTGCAATCAAATGGTATTCCAATTTGTTTTTTTTTATATGTTCCAGGGGATATGCATGGGTTCAAGTCAAAGATAACCTAATGCACTGCGATGCCGTTCATATTGATTTTAATTTTGAATTAAGAGTAACTAAGACTACAAAAGATTGACTGCGTATTAATTGACAAAAAACTAAAACAAATTTTAAAGATTTATTATTTGAATATAATGTCCGTTGCCGTATTTCTTTTTATTGGAAAAAAATATTCTTTCCATCGCAGCTGCTTTCGTATATTCACAGACACCGCTGACAAAGGTAATGACGATCGCTCAAGTGACATGGCCGATCATTCCATTTCCCTGTTGCTCTGTTTAATATTTCGACGCAGTTTTCCCGCCCGCCAGCGTTGTTTGGTTCCCATCTATTCCAGTTTTTATACGAGATCTCCTCATCACCCACTGTGTAAAACACTCTTCCCGATTTTCGGTACACGCCAATCCACGCTGCGATGAGGTTATGTCGCTTAATAACCTGATAGAGATAATTATTTATTTTCGTGTTGGTTGGAACTGCCAAATGGCCGCCACGCCGACGACAGTCGTCTTTCGCACTGTTCCATGATGTCGCAAAGCCATTGCTGATATAAAAGCAGAGCCCATCGAATGCCTCCCAACCCGCAGGGCATTTAGTAGCTGAAATATTGTTTAAAATACATTGTCCTTAAGATATCCTGCGCCCGAAGGATTCAACAAATATGTAAACATTAATATCTACGTATTAAACACTGTATGAATGAGGCTGAAGCGAACTAAATTTGCGCAGAAAAGACGGGTGAAGCACTCATCATTGCGCTCTGCTCAAGACTAGCAAATGAACATGTGAACAAAACATCATTTCTAGTATGTAAATGTGGAGTGCACGACAATGTATTAAACAGAAGTTTAAAATGAAGCCGCGGTCATTAATCAATAAATATACAAATAGTTTAGAGAAAGTCTGTGCTGTGCCTACCTGTACAAGGCTGTCCACTGTCCGATGATGTGAAACCTGATGCACACTGGCAGAAGTAAGAACCGTTTGTGTTTGTGCAGTAACCGTTAGAACCGCACGGTGTCAGTGAGCATCCTCCTGCAAACGAATCATCACATGATTATTCCCTTGGAATATACATTGTCTTGCATCCAGTAGATATTTCTGCATATTTCGAGGGTGCTATTTCTACACTATGGTCGATGTTCATAACCGTAATTATGATCTTCATTGAATCCGTAAAGAGTTTTAAATGGGTAGGATGATTAATGTTCATTTTGATTTACGGAATTTATCGTATGCATGTTGTTTATTTGCATAAAAATTAGGAGCTTGCATGTATTCTAAGAAGCTTTTATGAGCTTGGTATTCTAAGAAGCTTACTTTCTTCACTACGGCAATCATCTTCAGTGATGTTGTACATCACTTTCCCTTGACTTTCTAAATAGAAATATAAAATGCGTTGTACCTCCATTCATTATTGCAACTGAAATTTAAGATTCTAAATCGAGGCAGCAAAACATTTTTGAGCGCTATTTGGGCGCGTACATGGGCTACCATTTCGATGTAGACGAACGTGAGCACAAAACTGCTACTAGTGAAATGAAACGCCTGTGCATCCATAACTTAGTCATTTCTCCGTTCGGTGTTTTTTTTGTCCCAGCGAAAAGCAATACAGGCGAAGCGAAGGCTGTTGAGTTTTCGTAAAATTTCCGAAGATATTGTTCTCATGCAGCCTTTATTTTTACGAATGAAAGTAATTGGCACCAAATTTTCTCCCCTGAGGTTTTACGTGGCTACTTTCCCGCGTATTTTTTAAAACCTCGCACATGCGCGTAATCTTTTACCGCGTTGTCATATATATGCATTCATGTTTTGTTTCTCAGCTATTTCAAAAAAACTAATATTCGGTATCGTTATACCTGGTTCGTAATCGTAGACACTGACAACACCTGGCTGGGCGTTCTTTACTAATGTACTCTGCGTAATATCCAGCGAGAAATCCAACTCTTTTATCTGGAAAAATAATTCATTTCAATAAGAATTGAATCAGATCGACGCTACATAGAGAAAAAAAAATTTGGTAACCTTTTTTCAATAATTTTAAAAAAGGTGGCTTTAAGAATAGAAACTGTACACTATGTGTCCTGAGGAGCGGTTTCCTGGAATAGCCTGCCGCTTAAAATCGCAGATACGTATATGGCGACTTTTGGAAAAATTAATTCAAAAGACTCATTAATAATAAGGGATAATAAATATGTAAAATGTATTCTTGTAAAATAATGGATGAAATACTATTATTAGATTTTTTCACTATGTGTTGTATTTAAGCTGTAGCACGGCTCTTTGAAAAGCCGCAGTAATTCGCTTTTGCTGTTGCGGATACGGGATACCCTGCCTGTTATGTCCTTTTGTTATGTATTTGTAAAAAAAAATGTAAACGGCGAAGTTTTTAAATTAAAATATTAGTATATAGTAATAAAACACGTATAGTTAATAATGTATACGTACGCGTTTACCTCATCGAAATACAGAATAACGTGTTGTCCTTCTGTTTCAAATCGTTTTAAGATTGCCCTATTTGCCTGGCTGGCCGTGCACTTTTTGTTTCCCTTTAACTTCTAAAAAGAGATGAGAGAAAGCGCTTTTTAGGTCTTATAATATAGCCGGGCCTTTTACTTGTTAGAATAAAAAATGACAAGCTTCTGCCCTGAGTTTGAATCCATTTTTCTAAATAAGAAATTTCCAAACTCTATTTTTCTGAACTGTTTTTTTCATGTTTCATAGCTACAGTAATTAGCTATAAAAACAAGGTTTCCATAGGAATTGGGGATAAATTTTGATTTTCGCGCTTCTATTTTATTAGTTTTTGCTGGATTCACTAGCAAATAATTTGGTTTTAATTTGGCTGACAGACTGCGCATGAAACATTTTCCATGTGGAAACGTTTTGCAGACCGACAAAATTTGATTAAAAAAGTGGGCTATAGTAGCTTTTCCACCAATGAATCAACTCGATTCGATGGTCGATCACGATTTTTCTTAAATTGGGTCGAGAACTGAATGTTGAGCAAAGGGCATTTAACTTATTCTAAAACGAGAATTAAATATTTATATATTATTCTATTCACTAAACCAAAGAAAATAAAAGTAACAATCGCGTGAAATATTTCCGATGATTGATGTTCTCAAACTGAGAGCGAAAGAGAAACATAATTTAAATGACTAATCTAACATTCTTTATCATCGTTATTTTTTATGCAGGCCAATTGTGGACACCATTGAACTCAAAAGAACTGGAAGGCTACCTCCGGCCGGAGATTTGAAGCCAAATTTTGGGGTCATGCCCAGTCTTTTCACGCAACCAAACACGCGGTTTTTTAAAACTTCAAAAATAATACTTTAACATGCAAGCACTAAAAACATCTTTTAGAGAACACAAAGTGCGTTCTGCACAGTATTTTTACGATAAAAGCATCCGTGAAAACTACAGAGTAAAGTATACTAAATTTATCTGTAACAAACCCGCGATTAAATTGCCCTTTCTTATGAAAAACGATGAACGAGGAGTGAAGCCGGGACAATTCAAAAGTGTTTGTGTGAATTCACTTATTTGGTTTCATTGTTTATCAATTTAATCCCTCGAAACTTGCGAAAAAACATTCTAACAATATTTATTTAACAACAAACTACAGCTAAATTTTCTTTTTTTATATGTTTTATGAGCACATAACAGCAAAATATATATTTTTTGTTTTGTTGCCTGCAAAACTTTTTGAAGTAGTGATGGTTTTCGAACAAACTGTTTACATTTTCCTTATAATTTCACCACGCCGCGGTTCGAGGTATGCTCTAATCAGCATTGATTACAAAATTATAGCCTAAATCGTTAAAATAAAGGACAAATCCGAACGAATGTAACTTCGCGGCTAAACAGTTCATGTTTTATGTTCACTCCTGAAAAGGCCCTCGCGAGAATGTCTCGCAACATGTACACGCATGTCTGGAGGTAAAACACGCGTGTCTGGAGGTAAAATTTGGCTTCAATAATTTTGGCTGTTTTAATCAGGAGGTAGCCTTCCAGTTCTTTTGAGTTCAATGGTGGACACTCATCGTTTATTTCCTCTGGTAAAATTATATAATGTCGATTGTATATTGAGACAAGTAGTTGGAATCTTGTTTTGTAGCGTAATTTCGTTAATTGGACTTCATATATTCATATATTCACGTTGGCAAGCAGTAAATATCGTTGCCAACCACCCACTTAACGATCCTCCGCGGCCCGCAACACGTAACACGTCTTTCACTATAACACATACTATTACACTACTTGAGAGTGTGGTAATATTAAAAATCCAATCAATTTTTATATGAGAATTTTTTACCAGTTCTAGAGATTTTTCGTTCACGGTGAATCCCGACACGAGCTTAACATCAACTATAGCCATATTTGAAACATCGTTTTTGAGCCATCTAAACCAATAAATCGAGTTTGTGCGTAAATGAGCTTCGGTTGATTAAGTTGAGAAGTTTTCTGGTATGTTTTATATATAGCTGTACGAACTTTATGAGCTATCATTTTCCAAAAAAACTACAGAGATAGGTGATAGAATAGAGAGTTTAATACACACACCTTGCTTGTAGTCTTAACTGCAAAGGTTGACATGAAGGAGTTTCTTCTTCCTCGTCTTTTGCTCCGCGTGGAAGTACGGAAACGTTCACATTGAAGGCTGGCGGCAATTCAAAGACGGGAATATTGTATTTCACAGAAACCTAAATGGGAATTAAGTAAAAAGTTAACTATTTGAATTTAAAAGCGTTTTAGGCGTAGAATGCATTGTCGGAATGAAAATTGAGATAAAAATCACTATAAACTAAGGGCATAAACACAAACGACAACATTCAAAAGTATAGTCTAACTAGAAAAAGGATTTCCCATGTCGAGCCAAAATTTCTGGAATTATAACTAGAGATACATGCATGCCGCACCCGTCGCCATTTTCAACCAGGAAAACATAATCTCCTGTGCCTAGATTAACGATAACTAGAATGACTCTATGGTAAAGCGTCCATAGCCAATATTTTTATCATTTGGTACAAGATAGTCATAACATTGAAAGCGATTTAGGTAACTGTTGAAATTTCAACATTAATTTTGTGTTTTCAGAAAAACATCAAAACTCCGCTTCAAATATTATGCCGGTGACTGTTTGATTTTGAAACCACGAGTTACATTAAAGTGCCTATACCACATGTGGGATCTTTACGGATTTGAATAGAGCTTGAAAAATTAGTTTATAAGTTCTACATCCCTTTTTGATATAGTTAAATAGTTTCGGAAATATTTACATCTAAACATGACGATTTGCCTAAATTTCTGTCGTGCTCGGGGGCCTGGAACTCAGGAACCAAGTTCTAGTCAAGCATAATATATATCAATTGTAATTTTACTTCGATCTTCCAATAACGTAAATATTTTGAGAAAAACTCGCCCAGTTTCTACAGCCATACACAACGCACCGTTCCCGCATTTTTTTCTTGAAAAACGCAAACTATGTTGCCAGTGAAACTCTTCATGTCTACATTATAAAAGACGGCGTGTTTGCAAATCATTCCTGAGTCCCAGTCCCCCAAACTGACGTGTCCCCCAAACCGACGTATTTTCGAAACTATTTAATTATATGAAAAAAGTTGTAGAACTTATAAACAAGTTTTTCAAACCTTATTCAAATCCGTAAAGATCCCTCAAGTGATATAGGCACTTTAAAGCGATGGTGTACGACTTTGGAAAATGACGTATCAAGCTATTATATATAAATAAACTGTATCTTTCTTCATACAACAAACACGTAATATTATAAAAAACTATACTATAGTCACGTACCGATTTAAAACATTTCAAAAGAGTATAAATCGTTTTTTTTTCGCTTTTAATCTTCAGGAGCAAACCTTTTTGTTCCTGATAAATGTTTCTTGGCGATTTTTATTGGATCCGTTTTCCATTTTATTTGGTGACATTTTTAAAATCAGCTTTATAGAAATTAAAAGAGTGCGAATTTGCTGTTAAATTGCTTATGTTATCATTGAAATACGAATTTCTAACTCGGCCTAACAGAAAGTTGGTGATTAACGGTTGAAACTCTTTTAAATTTAGCGCATGCGCATAATTAAGAAAACCATCCAACGTCCATGACATAGAATTTTTACAACTTTGAATTCCGCTATATGATCTGTCACAATACCCAGGTGTAATTTCTAATCTCCGTACGGAATTAGTGCATTGGCATTGTGCTCTGCACCGGCTCAGCGATAATTGAATAATTTATAAATTAAGCCCTAGCTAGGCGTCTGCCGTTAAAAAGAATTTTCAATCACTGGTACAAGTGTTTAATATTTGATATATTTAGCTATTAGCTAAATGTATATGTAGATGTGAGATAGGTACTTCCTATATGAACAATAAAAAATCGTTATTTACCTGTAATAAAGCACATCCTGAACCAGATGCATTTATACCCAAAGTATTTGGCAAGAAATTACTTGGAATCTCTACGCGTTGTAGTATCAATTTGTTGTTGTCAGTAACCGAGAAATTATGGTTAAAACCATCTTTTATATTCGCAGATACATTCAAGATCGAAAGATCACTCTTGGAATAAAATCTTGCAGCGACTTCAGAAAGAGCTTGTAACGCTACACAGGTGTCCTAAATTATTTGGACGTAAAGAGGAATGTTAAATATTATAATTATGCCACAAAATACAGAGAACTTTTTTCCAGGTGTTTCGCCTAAAATTATTCTCATTCAATTGCGTTCAAAATATTAAAGATGCCTTTGTGAAAAACGAAGTAAAACAAAGGACACTTTTTTGCATACTTGTGTGGAAGAAAAGCCTCCGTAGTAATTTCGTTGTTTCGATAACCATTTCACAATCTTTTTTAATTTGTTATGAGGCTCATTGCGCTTGATGTAGGCCAATAAAGCATAGCTTGTCATTTCTACATCAGCGGCATATGTTTGGTGGTAATAATCAAACCGTGCTTGATTTACGTTGCCTGATGACCAGTAAAGTTGTTCGTCTAATAAAAAATATTAATTGCTATAACCATGATAATTGTATAATTGTACAAGATTTAAATAAATGTAATAATTCAGCAATAAATTAATAGAGATTAATTCATGTTGGCAAGTGGGTACGATTTTCATGCACGAGTTGTGGAGGTTCGCAAACCGAACGAGTGACAACGAGTGCACAATAAAAATAGCACAAAGGAACTTTGCGAGTTGGATGTTAAACAAAAAATTGTTTATCCATCGATTATAGGATTGCAATCACGAAGAATTCAGAAAATAATTAAGAATATAAGAAAATGAAATATATATGGAAATGAAATTGTTCACAGAAATCTTTTTCACCTTCCTCTCTTATCGCCCTGGTTTTCAAACGACTTATCATTATTGCTGCTTTCGGATGATCTGCCAGCACCATCAGGTACGATACTAATGAAGTGGTGTAGGAATCTTGAATTGTATCCAGATTTCGTGATATACAATTAAGAGCTCTGGAAACCATAGATGTCTAAGCAAAATAAGCATCATACAGTGTTTACATCATGCAAATTTACACGAGCTTGCATTTTGTGTTAGTGATAATTTCCACCAAAAACACGCCGCCACATACGCCTTAAAAAACATAGCGGTGTAAAGCGGTCCTCGAATATTATGTTCCTGCGTTATTCATATATATTTTTAAGATCTAGACTTCTTTTAAATGGCAGAAACTAAATTTTCATTGTAAATAAACAATATTGCAGCTCCCTGATATTTCGTGGGTTTTTTAAATGCATATAAGAAAACTATGCGTCTAACTGTTTATTATACAACCCAAAAATTTAAAATTCCTTTCGTTTACATATTATATTGAGCGTTCTGCCTGGCAAACCTTGCCAAGGCAACTGAGGTGTGTTGAATGACCGCTGAATATATAAATATATATTTATGATTATATCACAAACAGCTAGGCTTTGGGAATCCTTTTTTCTACTTCAAAGATTCGCACTTAGCATGCTTTCTACTTAAAAATGTTTTAAATTTCGATAAAAAATTCTCAAATCAGGGATTTTTTTAATAGAGGCTTAGAGCAAAAATAACGTTGATTGAAAAATATAAAAATTACATATCACATAGATTTGACAGAATTTTTGTCAATAAAGCATAATTATATAGATTCAAGTGTAAACTTTTAATTAAAAAAATATTAAAGTGTGAACTTTTAATTAAAAAAAAGACGGTATTTAGAAACAACTATAACGGTCGATATAGGTTGCTAGGCACAAATTTGGTATATTTAGAGTGTTGAAAATGTGCGGAACCTCATTAATGTTTAGAATAATGTAAGTCATTTCGCCAAGTATTTCCGGTCGGCTATACTGGGGACATTTCGCAAAAATGCACGCGGAAATGTTTTGAATCTTAAGGGAACAAAATCAACATATATAGGTTCTGGCGTGCTGTGTGACATGCCAAAAAAGCTGAAATATAGTCAATAACCTTAATGGCTGTAACAAATAAACCGTCCGTATAGGCCTTAAGAGCCTTATACATCAGTAGGTCAAAAATACAGTAAGTATACGTAAGCTATTACCTTCTCATCAAAACCTGCCTCCAGTAAAGCTATGGCGACGTAGGCCGTGATAGTAAGTTCGCTGTTCAATCCACCCTTCCAAAAGAAAATACAAAAACGTCCATATTACCAGAATACTATCTTAAGCATTAAAGAGATCGAAAAACTACAATGTTTATTTGAAATGATCGAGAAACGTATTTTTTCGAGTTTTAATTGAGAATAATACGCACGAGTTAGGGCAATGTAATTTTTTTAAATGATAAAAACAAAATGTTTTTTAATATATAAAAAAAGTATTTTAACACGACACGATAATCGCACATTTTTTCATTTATCGTATATATAAATGATCGCAGATGTGTTGTTAGCGCTTTTCACAATGGCGGATTCACGGATAAAGCACTGAATATATAATAAAGTCAAATTAGCTTCCATTCGCATAAAATATATATACGCATCAAATTGCACGAACTTACTTGAAGCGATCTATCAAACACTTGACCATACTCTGGAAAACAACCTGAACGTGATTGCTTTCTTCGAAACCACTCGATGCTATGTTTGATTTGATCTTTGTCAACAAATACATATCTCTGGGCTCTCGCAAATGAGCGAACAACAAAAGCTGTTAACCTAAAAAAACAATTACAAAGATTATTGCATGCATGGTAAATCATATAAAAATGCTGTATTAAGAAAAAGTTAATCGATTTAAATAAGATAATAAGATATATATCTGCCCCTCGAGGTACGGGTAAATGTTATTTACATTTTTAAAATGAAATATCTATAGAATTTCTATTGTTCGATTTTCTTAATTATTGTGAATTCGAAGGATGAACATAAATTATACAGGCTTCCAATGTTCTAGAATTAAGAAAATCGAACAATATAAATTTTATTTTATAAGAGAGGCACAATAACCATGACACTATTGACTTTATGGATACATATTAACTTAATAGATATTTTGATACAGGGACTTAACCCAACAAAAAGATAAACGAAAATAAAGGCAACAACAAACTGCGTTGTAGGTCTATCTCCCCATTGCAATATTTGAATGTGAAAATTTGGTTTTAAATTATGTGATTGGAATCATTTTCTTCTGAAAGGCAAAAATCAGAGGCGATATATGACCTGAACAGCACCGTTGTTTTTTCAAAAAAAACCTGAATTTAATATTATCTATATGTGATAACAATTTTTGCCAATAACTAATTTCAAAAATTTTGGTGTATATTGACTATTGCCTCGATAACCATGCACATGCACTTGAAACGATCATCATGCTGCCATTAACCTTAAAGCGTAGGACCAAGTAGGCCATTATAGTCCTTTTTTGGATTTGAAATTTGAGTTTATTATTTTAACTTCCATTAGAACTTTCTTTTAAAACAACTCATGCAAGTATATTTTTTATTTATCTATAAATATCACGTCAAGAAAGTTTAGTTAAATTATAGGGGTTGGAAGATTAATCACCAATCACTTACATCATGCTTCCTTTATTGTCGGAGTCTCCAAAGGCACTGTACGAACCACTTTTTCTTTTGTACTTTAACTGTCTTTGATAACCTCCGGGGAAAAGAATAGCGTTGTCAGTAGAAATATGTTGATAAAAATGATGAGGTGTAGGGAAAATTGGTTTTACCGTAACGCCTAGGTAGGAAGCTCAGGAATTCGTATATATAAGTATATAAGATAAAATTAGGTCAACATTTGTCGAATACCAGAGGATATATAATAAACTGCATCGTCTTTTATTTTTTTTGTAATTTGATTTGTGTTCGTGAGATAATCCATGATGTAAATATTGGGAGCAAATTTAGCCATGTTCTGTTCTCCGCAACCATACGGCATTGCTAACAGTCCATCAAGGTTTGTAAGAGCAGGTCCCATTATATCACCTGTAGAAAAAAACTTCCATCAAAACGAATTCAAAATTAGCCACCATAAAATTTTCCTTGTTGCAACCCTTTTTATACAATTGTGTATAGACATTAGATCGGATGGCATAAAAAGGTTCAGACGTTTACTGCATGCAAAAAACCTTTAAGACTATATACATATTATAACTTAAGTATATGAACATAGTTTACCAGATTCATTAAAGGCTAGTGTCACTTAAACTTAGCGTTTACCAATATATGCTTTCTTCTCTATAAAAAATCGAACAACTGAACTTTTTCGCGTCTTTCGGTACATTCAACTCTTTTTCATAACAAAAAAAATATGGGCGTTTTTTTTTCAAAAAAGAGCGCTGTGATGTATGCTACACTTGAATTTTTTCAATTGTTTCACATTTTTTTTAGACTCATCCCGGCCCTACTCATTTTGTCATCGTGCATCTTTTCCAAACTGATATTGGCAAGATCGCGAAAATATTAGGCTACGGTGTTTCGTTTTATTTTTCTTAGCTTTTGAAAATTACACCTTTTACACTCTTATATTAAAATTGCAGCTACCTAGCTAAGAAATGAAATCTATAAGAATGCTCATTGAAAAAAATTGTACAAGCAATGCTTAAAATGGAATGCAACTTTATTGATTTTAATGCAGGGTATTTATACTTAAAAAGCTACTGGTAAAGCTTTGGTTAAAATTTAAAGTTAATAGCAGGCGGAAACAAGCGACATATACATGCATAGCTTTAAAAAAATGAAGGCTGCTTAATTTATATTGACTTACCAATAAGCGATATTTTTGGTAGCACAGATCCTGAAATGATGCTGGTTGGTAGCGGTAAGTCAATCGTTTCAGCATATTCTTCTGGTAAAGGAGAAATCATTGGAATGAATCGAAAAGGAAAAAATTTTAGACAAAAGTTGCATGCATATTGTAATTAAACTGCCTATATCACTCGCGGGATCTTCATGCATTTGAAAAGAACGTAAAAAGTTAGTTCATAATACAAAACGTTTTTTGGTTTAGTGCAATAATTTCGAAGATACAAGCCTCTAAACTACATGCGGTTCCTGAGTCCCAGGCTCCTGTAAACAATGGGCAGTTTCAAATTGAATAGCCGTATTTAAACCCAGGGGGTTGGGACTCAGGAACCGCAAGTAGTTTACAGGCTTGTATCTTCGAAATTACTGCACTAAATCAAAAAACGTTTTTTAATATATTAACTAACTTTTTACGTTTTTTTCAAATGCATAAAGATCCCACGAGTGATATAGGCACTTTAAACTTTTTTTAATTGACGACTTGCGCTTTAGACTAATTTCTTACCTCTGTGATAAAAAGAACATTTTCTGAAAGAGCTTACTAAAATAAGTAAAGCTGCCAAGTTTAACTGCGAATTGTTGTAAAATACGGAAAATATACCCATGCGAAGTTCTCAATTTTTGTATACTTTTGTATTATGACCGGAAGTTTGTAACTAATTTAGTTACACATTTCCGCACGTAATACAAAAGTATACAAATTTACCAACTTCGCATGGCTATTTTTCCATATTTTACAAAATTTCGCAGCCAAACTTGGCAGTTTTAGTAATTACTGCGATCAAAAGTTAGTCTATAATGCGCAAGTCGTCCATTACTAGAAATACATTCATACTTAAACCCCCGGCTCCTGAGGTTCCCTTCATAGACTTGAATAATCATTAAAAAATTTTTGTCATGCATTTATGTAATCTCGTTTCCCGAGCCCGCGATCCTCTAGCGAGAAAGCCGAGGTTCTGAGAGAAGCCAAACCGAAAGCCAGAGTTCCTGGTACTTATCAGTATTTCCTTACATATTATAATTATCCAATGGTCTTTATTTTTCTCGCTAGAGGATCACGGGTTGCGGAACAAGATTGGCACAAAATAATCGCATTTAATGACGAGCTTAGTTGTTACCAATCTTCTCTCAATATTTGGTTTACCATTTAAAGAAGCGCAAAAGAATGTTCCTCTGGTGTATTCCTGCTTTATTCCCTCCGGCTAAAAAAGGAAATTTCTTCCAATAATTGCAAGAATTATTCGAAAAAAAGAGAAAAAAAAACATTATGAATCTTTGGGCTAAATAGATGTTTACCTCAACCAGCAATGTTCTTGTGACAGCGTCAACTGCGTAGAGAGTCAATTTAGGGCAAAGCTTTGCTTGAGAAGTCGTGGCTTTAACCGTAATTGGTATATGACCAAGTTTAGTGGGAATAACATTAAATTTCGTAGACTTTCCTTCATCACTACACACGCACATCTTGCTGATGTGAATTGATGTAACTTTAAAATCACTGGCTTTGCGAATTAATTCTAATTTAATCTGAAAACATGGAAGTTTTTATTATTTCTTTAAATTAAAAAAAATTCAATTTGAAGGCAGGCAGGCAGAGAGAAAGACGGACGGACAGACCGACGGACAGACGGACGGACAGACGGACGGACATGGTGGATATGTTGATAGATTTGTTCGAACGATATATTATTTCATGATTATTAATCAAAACACTTACTGGAACACAGGATGACATGTAGTTTATTACTGTCACTGTAATGGGTATTTCTTCCCCACGGATTACGGAATATGGCATCGTTATGTGAGCAAAGAAAGGTTTGAATGCTTTCAACGTTGCTTGATTTGAGATCCCCATACCGTACAAAGATGACATCGCAAAACCGTTTGCAACCCAACTGGTGATGGCATCAGGAACTTTCACTTCCATCGCATGTATACCGGAAGTGTCGCTACAGGGAAAAATTACCGCCTGCGTTAATCCCTACGCCGGCGAGAGTAATAAATTTCTGGGAATACTATATTACAGAAATTACACACGGGTTTAACAGAACATAGCGGAATTTAAAGTTATCCAAATTCTATCTAATGTACGGTGGACGAGTATGAATATGAGTAAAAACAATTCAATGAGAATGGAATTTTGAACCAGTCTTGTGAATTGTTTTTTAAATTTTAATGCAAATTAAATTGACGTGGGGTTTTTGCATGCATGTATTTATAACATAACAATATTTACTTTAGTTTGATGTCTGTCCATAACCATGTCTCCGGAAAATATTTACGAACTGCTACTGAGAACTTCTTTGCAGTTTTTTTTTCTTTCTTTTTAGGGGAAGTGAATTTTTTTTTTGACTTCGATTGAACCTTTCTTGGAACCGATGGAGCGGGGCGGCTGGAACTGCTGGCAGCCGACATAAGTTTCATAAAGCCTATAAGATATTTTTTGTAAAAATCGTTTTTTATTATTAATTAACTAAGTTCTATTCATTCTTTCTCACTACTGTACGTTGCGAAATATTTTTTGGATTTGAGAGCTGGGATACAGACAAAAATTTTTTAATAAGGGCAAGGGCATAGGAGCAAATTAAAATCGAATATGATCCTATATAATAATTTTTAATTTATTCTTCAAAAATTTTCCTTTTTTTATAGCTATTCTCAATATATTTTGGTAAGATGAAAAAGTATAGTAGCAATGTATTATATTTCCTCAAGCTGTATGTGATGGCATGCACTATATGAGCAAATTTTTGCTTAATTGTGACTATACATGCTTGCACCTACAGTCTTTTCGAACAATAAGAATTATTTTATAATACATTACTGCTTATTATTGCAACAATTATATAGTAATGTTATGGTCCGCAGCCTGGTGGGATTTATTCAATAATTTTTCTCTATCTTACCACCATCATGGTGAGGCGTTTGGAAGGAAAATGGATTTCTCCGGCGAGATGTACTCCTCCAGTTATGCTTTGTTCTTCCTTCATAAAAATATCGTCGCCAAAATCTAATTCGACGTGGCATTGGTCGGGGGCGAGGACGAATGCAAGGCCGAGTAAAGATCCTCAAATTTGAAACAAAATTGACACCAGCATTCTGAAATTAAATGTTTTTTACATACATATAATAAATGTTTACAGGCCTATATACCATTAACCGAATTCGAAAATTGCGTTCCATTATGCATAATTACCTTACGCATATGCAAATAACGCTAACTATAAGTTCTACAATCTACAAAGGAAAACGCTTTGTCTTGCGTGAACTAGATAAGACTGCTAGTGATGTTTGCCGGACTACCTAGGAAGCAGCTGGACAGTATAAACGGCTACAAAACTCCCTACGTGTCAACGTTTTAAAGTGGCTAAGTACTGTACGGTTAAATTAACAAGCATCAATATTCTTTCAATCACCTCAACATACTATCATACTATGAAACAGACCCGGGCGTCGTGTCTTTCATGGTATATCGAGAAACAGCAAAGTGCCCGAAGCAAATACTATTTGCAACGCTGCACGAGGACAAGATGAAACCGTCATTCACTGAAATTAAAGGCGCAATGGCGCTGCTATTACGAATGAAGAAGTGACAAGAAAGAAAATTGCTCAGGTTGTCAAAGATAACGATCGCTAACCAAGGAAGGATCTAATGAATATGTGTCCAATCGCTTTTGTCGTTCGGCATGTGGGAATGTAGACGAAGATGACCACCAGCCTACCCACAAACTCCGTATCGGCTTGTCGTTGTTGACACACGCGCTCTTTACCGTTGACGGACTTGGATGTGATTTGGCAATAGTAACGAGAAATCTCGTATAACGAAGCCTGGTAGCTGCATAAAGCGACATAACGACTACATTGCGTTACATTGGACTCATGATGAAAGGTTGTGATCACGCGTTGCATCGTGGCTACGTTGATGGTAAACCAGACAGCGCGATGCTTAGGTTTGTGAAGATGATGGAAGTTAAAACATACGTGAACCCATTACTCTTCTCAGAAAAAATTCTGAAAGACATGGCCAGAATAATACACCTGTTATATCTCATCCCTCTTGCGAAATCGCCCCACATATAGAATTCCATGCTGATTACATTGAGGTGAGAGGAAGCCATTTCTTTTGCATATCAACGGGGAGCTTTACGGACGGCGTACCCAACTTGCCCTTCAGAAAGATCTCACCTCGCGCGTTCATTCGGTACGACCGTACAACGCCACCACAGCCTCTGTACTTCAAGAGTGCCAGGGATAATTCGTTTCCGGACTTAAAACTGAGAATAGCATTGCTGAACAAGTTTTATCAATGCGTTGTCGGTCGACGATTGCCGCAGAAGGTACGAAATTTGTTCGCGTGCGGACCGAGTGATACAGAGAAAACATCATGGGCGTGTGTCCTGCAGAGAATTGTGTCGTCGGAACCTAGCGCACCCATTACAAAAAAAAATTACCTCTCCGCGTCGATGATAAACGAGTCGACAGAACTTTTCACTATCGATGACTGGTCGATGCAAATGATGGACTCCGATCTTGCCAAGACGATTCTACAAGGGCGGGGGGGTTGGCTTGTGACAGCTGTCAAGCACAAGCAGCCAAGATGTATATGAAACAACACTCTATGCTACATTACCACTAATGCTGTCCTAAACGTCGGAGAGGAGAATGAAAACGTGGAGCGTCCAATCGTTGTTTTCAAAACCAAATCTTTGCCGCAATTAACAACAGGCGTAGAAAAATGGATACATAATAACGCAATGGTTATGTTGTTTGGGTGGCAAATGAGATTAACGACCACATCCATCATGTGCCAGAGAACGAGAGATGGTACGAAAATATAGACGGCCAAGCATCCTTCATAAATGATTACTACATCACACGTACGAAATTTAAAACAAACCGTTTTACTGTAGTAAAATAGAGAGCGCTGTTCTTGAATATGTATTCTTATACATTCCTCGGATCAAAATGTTTGTAGACGAAACAAAATATGAAACAAATAAAATTATATTTTATATTGTAAGCTTGACGGACTTTGAAATTGAAATATAAAATATATATATATATATATATATATATATATATATATATATATATATATATATATATATAATTTAAAACCAAGTGAAATTGGTTTACACACATGATAGTCTCTCGTGTAGTTCAACATTCCATGATTGGTGTATAATAAGCACGGTACAGTTCGAATAGTATAAGAACAATATTTTTCACTCGCAGTAGATCGCTATTCGACTAAACCGTTGTGAACAACATAAGTGCGACCTACAAGAAATGAGAGAAGCAGCACCACTCGCGCTTCTACTCCCTCCTGCGTTGTTAATCGTTCCTTTGTCAGAGAAGAAGAACGTCACCAACTCGACAATGCAAGACGACTACGCCGAAATTTGCCGCTGACTTCTCTCTCGTCATCAGAAGGAGAATTGAGACGTGCGGAAGAGAAATCAAAAGAATCCTGTGAAACATCCTTAGTTAAAAGAAAATGCCGCGACAACGAACTACAGACTGATGAAGAGGATGAAAAAGAAGAAGAGGAACAAGGTGGAGAATAAGGAGAAGAAGAAGGAGAAGAAGAAGGAAACAATGGATGAAAACATACACCGAATGATGGATGATTGCTCAACAATGAAGTATACCCGGCGAAAGTGTACGAGCACAAGTGGAGGTTGGTGAGAGATCATCACGCACATTTGTGAATCTACATGTTTTGTTCGCTCCTTTTCTTTATTTATGTTCGGAAACTTTTTTTTTCATTAGGTTTCCAACAGAGTGCTTCCTCAACGATCTACACTAGCAATCGCCGCACGACGTGATTCGGCCCACAGCAGGAAAAGGATTTCGATACGAAACCAGATCCGTACATTGATGCGTTGATGCTGATCACCGGTTGCAAGGTATTCGATGTGGAAAAGTTCGTATTCGTTGTGGAAAAGAAGCTTCCACTATAGTGGAGCATTGTTGTTGAACAGCCTTTCCGACAATATACGAAAATTACAATCATTTTCACAGTTTTGCAGGGCTGTGAACGAATACTATAATACTTAATCTGAACTCCCGCACGGCAATCTTGTAAATAAGTGAAATTTTAACTTGTAGTATTATGTAATTAGTTATATGTAATCTTGTATTATTAAATGTTAATCCTCTCATAAGTTGTTATACTGAAGATTTTGCCGTGCTTTAAATAAATTTGTTGGATTGATTGATTGAATGATATCGCACTTCGGCTTCCATTTGCCTTAGCCCGGCTTTCAATGGGATTAGGCCAACTGCATGTGTGAGAGTTGAACCGCTTTCTATATAGAAATTATTTCATATTATATTTGACATAATTAACCATTTTTCATGCTGAAATAAGTACGTGCATGTGTAAGATGTGGTGCAAAAGATAAAAAAATGTGCTTACGAATTGTTCGCACAGTATTTCCCACAGCATATATTTATAAAGCTGATATTCAATGAAGTTTTCATGTAACATCGAAATGGTGAAACTCGCATTATAGAATTGGCTCTTCGTGCATATTCGATTCTAAGGAATTTAGCGACCTATACTCAAGGATTTAGACCGTAATCTCTATGGATATTAATTCATCAATTCGGACAGAGATTGATACGTTTCGTCACCGCACAGACGTCATACATAAGTATAATTTTCTTGAAACAGCTATTTTCTGTAGTGCGTATAATCTATATACATAATAAGAAGCTTAAGTGTTGCCAGCCTTTTTCTCGTCCGGTGTTCTATGGCACAACAGCAGACAAACATTGACTGGAAAAGTGTCACAGGGGCATTTCGAAAACCCCAAAGACTTCACCTGGAAAGAGATAAAGAAGGATTGTTTCATGGCCCAACCCCAAATTGTGATCATCAAGCTCTTTCTATCAGAGAGAATGCCGAAAGCATGTGAAAATAAAGCACCCATCGTCACACGTACTTTGAAACGCCGATCCTTGGAGGAAGCCATGAAATAACATCTGATATAAGGCAGTCGTGTTCGACGGCAAGCAAGGCAACAATGCCATGTTGTGCTACAGATTCCGAGTTAGGGCGATCATTTTGTGTTTGGCTTCAAAGCACGACCGCCGGTGGAAAACAAGCGGAGCAAACCGAAATATCGGCGACCAGCTTTCAAATTCGTACTGTTGCGAACAATCAGGCGAAGATGAATAATCGGTGTTGTCAACGGTTGAACTTTTTTATGTTCTTCTAGATTTTGAACAGACTTTCGCGATCATTTAGAAAGTGTTTGGCAAATGGGATAATCTGGCCGCCCTGGCTACGTGAACGGTATAGCAGATTTCATTCACCCGGGCCTGTCCTTCAAAAATTCTCCGTCACCGAAGTATATATAAAGCGAGCAAGACAAAGTTTGACAAAACAGATGCGTTCTCAATGGACGAAAGACTTAAATATCGAAACCCTGGAATACGGAAATACATTCATCCGCCAAGATATAGGCAGATTACATAATGGAAACAGAAAGCGCGAGCAGTTTAGATGTGCAAGCAAAACGACTTGTATCGGACGATTAGAAACACAGCTCAAACGTAGCAAGAGTTCATGATCAGAAGCTGCAAACTCGTAATTTTGCTCCAAAAGACGATCCATAATGAACCATTCATGCATTAGTTCCGATCATAGAGTACGGAAAATTAATGAACAAACGGTTGCTGTTGTTCCTTTGCTCAAAAGCGAAATGTAAGTTCCCATTCATGGCTCCTTATTATATGTAGGGGAACAACTGAATTGTTCCTAAAATAGAGTTCCTAAAAATAAGGAACAAATTTTTGCAGTTCCTTTACAAAAGCGATCTATATATATGTTCTCATTGTAAACGTTCCTTAATACATTATATGTATAAAGGATCGAATGCGTGCAGTTGCTAAACATAATCGGTCCATTAAGTTCCATTCACCACGTTCCCAATAACCAAAACAAACAACATCTTATATCATACTTGACCTTAAAATTGGTTGGATATTTGCTCATCGCCACATTTATGGTTTGATTAATAGAACAGAACACACCTAACCGTATAGTGTATACGATCCCGTCGAGGCCTTTTCGCTTATAGAGAGACAACTTAGAGACACAACAACCGAAAATCAATCACAATTGAGAACAGAATATAAGGAAATGTCATAAACAATTTAAAGACATATGCAAAGACTTAACGATTAGATTAATATCTAGCGATAAATCAACCACAATTGCGCAATGGATTAATTCTTTCCATTAGACATAGACATGGTGGCATGATACATTTTCTGAAATATAATGTTGTGCTAAATATATTCATACTTACGTTAAATATTTGAGAGACTTGGTCATTTGTTTTAGCAGGCTTTCTCAAATTCCGGCTACAGGTGAAGTACTGACGTGAGTTCATTGGACCAACTTCTTGTAGACTTAAAAAATTAATAGCCTACAAAAGCAAACAAAAATTCGAGATTAGGAGAAAAATTCAAAGAAATCAAAACAAAGAAGTCAAATGATGCGTAAGGTTACAAGGCACGAAAATCAAGGCTTTTTGCGATGTTGTATTTTTGCTACTAATATACAAATTAAAGCAATGATACCCAATAAGTAAATTTATAAACAATATAAAACTCGGGTATAACGTCCATAAAGGATGTATTAAAAAAGAGGTAATCCAAATTTTGCGCGCTATTGTACGTGAGCTACTCATTCTATTAACGAATTTTTTTCACTTCGGAAAGATCAGGCTTTTAACTATGAATGACATGCTTTTAATACCAAAATAAATCGCGAAAAAAAAAGGAGCAAATAGGAGGTTGATAAAAAATGTTAGTAAAAAATGGCGTATATATATACTTTTATAATTGAAAAATTCCGCTTCTAAGTAAACTGGCCGCACATGCATATCAAATAGGAATAAATCACATCAGGAGAACATCCAAGCAATTAATGCATGATTTTTCATTTCTTGTTTTCGTGCGTAGCGAAACTTTCGAAGCATATTTCCAGTGTTAAAACGTAATTGCCATTTTGTGAAGCTAAGATATCTTTAAAATTTTCCGTTTGTTGAAATTAAGAGCCTTTAATTTTATAGAGTGTTCTCCTGATCATGGATTTATCGACAAGGGAAACGATTAGTTCATTATCATATACATTAGGCTATACATGCACTTATATTTCTGACGCTTACGACAGACACTGATGCATTAGGGATCCATCAATGCCGTTGGTATCATCCGTCCTAATAATTTATATAATTGTTCCTATAGTATTTCCCACACAAACCCTCTTTATTAGTAGATAATATTTGGTCTAGATTATATAAATTATGGTTATGTTATAATTATGAATACTCAGCAGAATTAATCACCTCCTTTTTTGAAATTTCATCTGATTGTTTCAGGAATAAAACACTTTTATCCAGGGCAGAAATGGCCACACGCGAGCCAGGTTTGGCTTTCATAACAATTGTTGTTTTTTCCCCAGGCTTTTTCTCTTCGTCAACGAAATTCACATGCAACTAAAAATAAGGCAGCAGTTAATAACATGCAAGCAAACTCTGATCAATCCCTAAATTGCAGTAATTCTTAACAACAATTTTAATATATTGCTTTCATTGATTGGTATTAATAGACTCATTGTGCGTGAATTTCACATTTGAGCCAATCAAATCACAGGCAACACAGACAAGCACCGCAGGCGGACAGGGCCCATATGTGATAGCTAAAAATTAGGTTGCTCCTTGCCATCACACTCGGCTATATATCTACCTCTTTATTTTTGGAGAGTAGGCGTCTCTGAGAAAGGCGATAGTTACATGATATAATGCTATTAGGGTAGAATAGTTATTAAAAAACATGTAAACATTTTAGAACTCTCAATCCTTATGCATGCACAATACCCATATTTTGTCAGGAGAGCTACCCAGTATGATAGAAAAAATATCGCGTGTCTTCTGTGAGGGCGAAAAAAAGGTTAAAATAAACATATAGCAAAAAAAAACAATCATTTATTGCATCTCATGCAATAAAATGTCGTTTGCTTTTAATCAAAAGTGCGGGTGTGTTAACTACCAGAATGACTGTTGTTATTAATTTTAGTATTCTTTCGTCTGGGATACGCCTCCAAGATATCTTGCTATTGTTTTCAGAGTTCGCAATCATACGGCGTCTCCCTGACAACGGTTCCTTTTGGTTTATTTTTCTGTGTCATTCTCTTTTATAGCCCGAGGTCGAAACGTCGATAAATATTTTGTGTATATTGGCAATTTTTATTTCGTATTTCGTGCAAAGCTTTAAAACGCGCTCACACGTTTGGCCCAAAGCGGAATTTTTGTCAGGTACCTGATTCTCAAGTTTATCTTCCACGTCATAAACAATACTGTCACCGATAGTCTCCTTATCCATCTTGACAAAGTATACCAACATTCTGCAACTCGGAACCATTTCTTGAGTAACATTGAAGAAAAGTTCAAATTTATTCATTGATCTTCCAGCTATCCTTCTTCCGTTATACATAAATTGTCTATGATTACGATTCGAGGAATTTTTCAGAGTTTGCCAATCCTGTGTTCTCCAAGTAACGCCAGATAACAGCAGATTTCCTTTACACAAAATCTTTAAAACGATAAATAATGTAATGAGTCTGGTTACGCGTTTAGCAAAAAAATGAATAATAAGTTGATAATCTGAAGAATTGTGTGAGGAAGATTAATTCGAAGAATTGTGTGTTACAGTGAGTTCTGCCTAACATCAATATACTCCCATTAAACAATCCAGTGCCAAATTAGTTTAAATAACCATGTCGTGATCATATTAATGGTGATACATGGCTTAACAGCTTTTCTTCGAATAGTCATTATGTACGACGTTAAAATGTTCGTACCTCGTTTAAGTGAATGTTTTATAATTTAATATTTAATAACTATACTTTGTAAAAGAATGGAATATTTCTTCGCATGTTATCAGGGACAGTGTAAAAGACTTTCACAGATCCTTCGCTTCCAACCTGAAAGAAAACATTATATCATCCTAAAAAATACTAATAAAAGTTGAGAAAAAAATAGGTTAAAAGCATGCATTGCGGAGTACATATATATAAACTTAGTGTAAGCGGTTTGATAAAAAGCTGTAAATACACTACTGATCAACCGAAATAATAGCGCGTGCACACTATATGCGTAAGGCGACACGTTCTCTACTATGTGCTTATGCGCATATGAATATTTTACAGAATATGCGCAATATAAATTTGAAATATTATTATTATTATTATAACGATTGTCCATTTTCCTAGCTTGCCTATATAAATAGTTAATATTCCATTAAATTTACCTTCGCAGGTAAGCCGTGATGAGGTAAGACCAATTTCAAATAACACAAACTTGGAGAGTACCAAGAATTGGAAGTTTTTACTTTCAACAATTGGTCTGAGTTGTAGTTGGCCTAAATGTTTAAAAAATAGCCTAAAGTAAGGCTACAGGTAATAAATTTTAATTCCAACTTAAAAATGGAACATTTGCAGCAATACCACATATATCCAAATCTTATTTACGAAATATATTAATATATAAATATATAATGAGTTCATGAATAAATTGAACCTATATAAAGTGAACCTACAAAATTTTTCTCGACGAGATCCTTCTTGAAGTAACATATGTACGCAGCTCTACCCGCGGTTAATCGCCATTTTACAAAATAAAATTATTATAAATCATATATATCATCCAAGTCGATTTCACAACTATACGGACTCTGCATGCATGCAACTGCTCAAATTCAAACGCAAATTAATCCTTGTGAGGATTAATTAATTGTACTAAAATGTTACAAGATTTGATAGCTGCATTAGATTTGGATTATAGCATTACCGTAAAGGTGAGTGCCTTTGCGTAAGGCGACACGTTCTCTAGGGGGACAACAATCACACCGTTTGCCACAGAATACCACCTGCGGAATATTCTTCTTGATGTTTGAACATTGTGCTGACGTTCAGACACGTCAACTCGGACTGTCCCATCAGTTACAGGTGTCCCATCAAGGTATTTAATCTGGACCTAAAAACAAAAAAAAAGATTCTCGTGGACACCGTGGTGCGGATATTTTACGTATGTCACGTTTAGGGGTGACATAACGAGTTTCCCCCCCATTTTCTTTGATGTTGCTGTGAAAATATGGTCTTTGCCTGGTTCGTATATAAAACGAGATTATAGTTGGAAATACAAACGAAAACACTTAAAAAACATATTTAAATAAGTAATATTTATTCTACTTGAATGTTCAGGCTATAATTTAAAAAACATTAATTAGCTTTTGTAACGGTCTTTCACGACTTATTCTTCCGCCGATAGGAAGTGGATATATTTCTTCTGGATATTTGTCAAACAAGGCTTTGAAATGTTAATTATCACTGAAACCCTTCTTTAGATGTCACTTCGAATTCCCATAAGCAGAACATTTTTCTTTCGAGCAACCATATAAATAGCAGAAGATAACTTTGTTATTTCTGTTCGTGCTGATTCTTTTAAATTGTAAACGCTGGCTTTAAAGCATATATTCAACAACCCCCCAACTAAATCGCTACAAAGTTTATCTTAAAACAAAATCAACTACCTTAAATTTTATTGGAAAACCAGGTTTGAATTTCTGAGGAACATCAATTAGTGACATGGCTTTAGACTTCAACGCCATATTAGGACTTCGGGCTGTTTCTTTTATTTTAACCCCAGTAGAGATTTCGGTAAACATAGCAGTAATATGTAAATAATATCCAACAGGGGTATGTGAATTGATTAGTTCTTTAGCATCAATATGAACGCATCCTGTTATCTAAAAAATAAAACACATAAATATTAGCTACAGGTTTGACCATGAAAGCTTTAAAAATAGATATAGTAGAATAGTAAAAATAAATAGTAATTCACCTAGACACGTTTTGAAATTTTACTAAAAAGCGTCCTATAGATGGTAAGCAGGGGTGCCCATAAGTAACGGAGGGGGGAGGGTAACAAATTATATGTTTTTGACTTTTAAGTATTATAAATAACATAAACTAACTATTTTGTGCCGTTTTTGCTAACGTTTAACGATCTCCTATTTTTTTCCGGTCGGTCACGATTGTCATTGTTTCGTAATTTGCAGAATGACGTCACTGCCATAGTGTTCGTATTCAAAATGCGAACGAATTGTAGTAAGGCTTTTGTCACGAACTAGTGGCCATGATTGAGTGAATGCGCTCCAGTTAAAGGGGCTTTATATCCATGCAGTGGGGGGAACAAATATAATTATATACAGAGTAAATTCACTATATTATTACACCACGAAATAAGTGCGGTGTTAGTCAACTTATGCAATGCAACATGTTTGAGGTTTTAGCGCCTTCTTTTGCTACATGTACGTACATTTTTGGTTTCTTTCAAACAATTTTGTTCCACTTGGTTGTTCTTGAGACACAATGTTGTTTTCAGTCGACCAGTAAAAAATTTCCCGTAAGTATACCTTTATGAATCAAACGTCAGAAGAAAAAATGAAACTTTTAAATTGATAATATCCCAATTTTCGCGAGTTATAACCAAAAACGAATTACGAAAATGTTGGCATTATGAAAGTAGTTATCACAAAGGGGTTCCAGTTATACAGGGTTGTGGCCTGTGGGGGAAGTCAGGAGGTGGGAACCCGTGAGAAAAGGCTGGAGGAGGGGGGGGGTTGTGGGAGGAGATTGAGCGGGATGCGGGGGTCATGGGAGGACGGGAGAAGAATGAGGGACATTTCAGCGGTTTTAATAACTTTTGGTTCCTTTTTAAGCAAACTATAAAAAATCAGAACGCAAAAAAATTCTTAAGCTACTGCAATATTTGAACGTCAGAACCTACACACAATAAGTGTTTTCTGTAACAAGTACAATCCTAACCAAAAGTTACCTCGCACATATTGTAAAAACAATTTCCCGTTGATCCAATGCAAAGTATGCTGGTGGCTTTATGTCCAGTTCAAATTTAGGAAGAACTAAGTAAAGTAAAGTAAAGCAAAATTCTATTGGGCTTATAATAGATTTATAAATTATTTTGGAATGCTTTGTAGCTACTACCAGTGTCGAATCCAGTGGGTGATATAGAAGGTTGCAGAATAAATTACTACAGCCTATAATTTGAATCGCATTAGCAGACTTTAAAAAAATATTCTATATGTAAAAATATTCTATTCAAATCTATAACTAATAGCGTTGTTATTAAGGTGTTTAGAATTTAAAATTAAGCTATGTAATTTATTCTCCACACCCATAGATCCGTCACTGGTCGAATCGTTATTCACTGATTTCGGAAGTAAACTTACCATACTTGTCAATTTCGATAGCTTTTGTCACCGTCTTTCGCTAAATACCAAAATTCTTTTTTTAAAATATATCACTGAGATCATCAAATATCATGCTTTAAACTGCTGCCTGCTTATACGAAAATAATGTACGTACAAATTTTGCAGCAATTACATGCAGTACTGTCCCGAAATAACCTAACAAAAAGCGCGGTTAGCCTAGGTCAAACCTCGCTTCAAGTGATGTCAGACCGAGGTCGAACCGTGGTGAGAAAACTCGGTCTTACTGAGTAACTGACTCTGACAGAAAGAGTACTTCTTACCAAAATCAAGCCGGCTTTTGTTAGAATGCGTTATGATGAATTTACGATTTGAATGCCTGAACACTTCATTTTATAGTGTCATTCTTTACGTAATGAAAAGAAATGTTTCAACAAAAAAAACCTTTTACTTACACGGCTGTTGGAAATTAGAATCATCTCCCCCCCCCCCTACACACACTTTTCTGTTCATATTTTGAAAAATCTCAAAAGCGAGTGGGAGACTCGTCCTGGCGATGCCACTCCCTGAATTTGAATGCTTTTACCTAACTACATACTATGCTATTTCACCAGTGCATTAACCATGCATTCAAATTTTAACAAAAGATTAATTTCAATAAGGGGTTCTTTTTTGATATAGCCTAATTAAGACTTTATTTCCCTTATTGCGAAGGGTTTCCCAAAAACTCTTTGTTTTGGAGAATGCGATCTTTCATGCTGTATTTGCTTGCAAAATGTATGGTGGTACGTTTGATTACAATTAACGTACTTAATTCTGTACTGCGCAATATGTATCGACGCACATACATCAGTAATAATTTTTGAGAGCATGAACTTCTTGCATGCAAGTCCGTTATTAATATTTGCAACTTTATGATACCTCAAAGGTTACTTTGATAAGCCATTTACCCAGAACTGGCTCTTTTGACAGCTGAAGTTCCAAACTACCGACACCTAACAATTTTAATGATTTTTATGATATCATTATAGCCGCATTTCTTGATCAAAATATCATTTCGTTACCATTTCATTGCAACAAGTACAAAAGTAGTTTTACCGTCTTGTAGTTGAACATCGGTCCATTGCATAATCTTGGAACCACTTGGTTCCTGTGTGACAAGAAACACAGAGAATATTTTTGTTAGACTGTATTTCGTAAGTTAACGTAATAGATTTCTGCCAAAACAAAGGCACTTTACAGTCGATTTACGCTGCATTCACAGTCTTTAGCTACATTTGAAATTTTTGCTTTAGGGTTTCCCTCTCATCGCCGCTATGAATGTGTATTGTAACATTAATATTATATTATTAAACCAGGTATGGTCGTTATAACAACTCACTTATGCTAAGCGTCGATAATGTAAAAAATAAAGTAGGTATACATACCTGAATTATCACCGAGGAAACCTATTAAGACGAAAGAATAGAATGCAATGAATTTATTACTTCTAATCAATTTAGAAATTTTATTGCATGAAAGGGGGTTATTGAGATGGAAATTTTATATATATTTGAAACGATTCGTATGCATTGTCTATGGTGATTATGGGTTTCGAATATGAGTGCTGTAGTTTTAATATTTTTCATCCGTGTGGAAAATATCAATTATACGAGTTACGATTTCGTCGAATACCTTAGGTCCAGCGGGCCTCAGTTCAGCGTCCAAACAAATAATCAGAATGAACACTGAAATAAAAGAACGCTTAAATGATAAGATTACTTTTCATTTCTTTTTTTTCTTCCTAATTATCACCTCTCAGCTAATTGTATGAATTTTACAGATTGTATTCTCTCCAACGAAGAAGCAAGAATTCTGAAAAACCTTTTTGTCCAGGTTTATAAATTGGTTTATCGGTTTGAATGAAGACTTTCTTTAGCGGAGAAGCTTTGTACGAAACTGCTTTTCTCATTGTTTTAACTCCACACACTGTAGCTTCAACCTTTGCAAGAGATAATCCCTTAGGTACCTGAAAAAAAATCGGTGTCAAAAAACCGATTGCGATAACTACTTGGGAAAAATTTCGCTCGATCTGTATTCGCAGTGGCGTATGAAGCACAATAATCGGAGGGGGGGGGGTGCATATTCATATATTCATGTTCTGTCTGATTATCTTTACAGGCAGTTAAGAAGTGGCCTATTTTTTATACTTCAATTGGAAATTTTTTTTGTTTGATTTGATTTGAATTTCCTTCATTAAAACTTCACCACGGGCATATATCAATTTTGTTAAATGTGTTTTTTGCGGATTAGAATTTGGGCGACTATATTGCCAACCTGAAGCTCCAGTGTTCCGGCTTCATTTGGTTTAAAATGACTTCTAGCGCGCCTCCTGACGACATTGAATGATGAACCATACAGTCTGACCTCCACATCACAGGATAGAGTACCAAAAATATTTATTCCCAGCTTGACATTTTCACCAGCACGAAAAACTCTCGGAATTGTGATCAAATAATCACCATTACCTAACGCACCACTTCTGTAAAATAATAAATATTATATTGCGTCAAGCTGTTTGTCCCTGCCCAAAATACCATTTTAGACCCAGACCCCCTATATTCTGACAAATTTTAAAAGGGCTAATTATTTTGGCCTTTTCTAAAAAATCTGCGTCGTTTCTGGGTCGTTTTTGACGTCCACACGAAAACATGAAAACGATTTGAAACTATTTGTTCTCTTGTTTTTAAAAACACGTGGACGTAACCTGTACCATGAAGAGATTAATATTATCCGTTTTTAAATTTCTCCAGATTCGTATGGACGGAAGTATATGTCAAAGGCGGATTCTGCAGCGTTCTTCAAAGTGCTAAGTCAATAACTTAAAAAACCTGCTTACGACTTTTGATTGAAACCTATCAATCAATTAAGTAGATTTCAAGATTGCAGAGTCCTCAATTTTTATTGACACCCGTCAATAAATTATGCAAATGAGGTGAGTCTCCAAAATTGCAGAGTCAGCAACAGCGAATGCGAATGATCTGAGGGGCGCGTTTCTAAAATTATTTATGTTTTCTGATGTAGCAGGTTGCAAGGTTGAGCGTCGGCCTTTGGCCTGTGGTTTGATATTTTTATTTGACAAAATAAGAACTCTTTTCACATGCAGGAATTGGCCCTATGGGTTGGGGAAAAAACATTTTAGCTAAAAATGTTTCACTTGAGATATTATTTTTCTAAAAGTATACTAATAAAATAAGCTCAGGGTTTCTATCTTCTTTAATCTCTCTTTTATGTGTATAAATCAATGTTTTCTTAACGATAATGAATTGAATACATTTGATCTTGTTATATAGGTGCTGTGTATTTTAAATGTGATGGGTTTATTCCTAGTTACATGACTATAAATAAATGCAATGTTTCCCGCCAGTGAAACAAGTGAAAAATGATTGCTCTCTTTTTGTCACAACAAAGTAATTTTTTTTTTAATGAAATTGTTCTGTAACATGGATGTTTTTGTTCCTATATAACAAAACCCTTATTTTACATTACTTTGGGAGATAGTGAGTTTTGTTTTACTCTTTTAGACTCTTCGAGTCTTAATGTTTCCCTCGACTTCCTCTCGGGAAACATTGAGGTCCTTGGGAAAACAAAACTCACTATTTCCCTCAGGAGCATACAATTATTAAGTGTATGATAGCCAGCTCATGCACAGTTTAAGGCTTTTTCAAAATGTTTAAGTTTTGAGATTTTTCTATCAAGGTGTTCTTCAAGGTGTTCTTTCTCAATATATATATATATATATATAATATATATTATATATATATTATATTATATATATATAATATAATATATATATATATACAGGGTGTATAAAAAAAAATGTCCCAAATGTAAAAATTCCGTTTTTCAGGATATTTTGCAGAATTTGGCAATTTTTTCTGTTTCTAGAGATAGTTAAGACTTATCTGGTATACCTAGGCCAAGTTTGGTTTTTCATTAACAAAATTATGTTACCGGGGGGGGTGGTTCTTTTCCACTGATATTGAGAGGGCTTGCGCGCGAAAATGTGAAGCTGAAATTGAGATATTATTTAGATGTCTAAAAGTAGGAAAGCTTTTTAATAAACTGTCAAAGTTTCAGGAAAAATAATGCAAACTGGGAGCAACGCGCGACGCCTAAAGATGACAAATATTTCATTGCGCGCAGTGGATTAAATGCACCGTTGATTTTAGCATGACCGATCTCATACAAGGTGGGCAAATGAATAAATTAAAGCGAGAAACTGAACACAAAAACAAAGCGATTTATTCGTGATGTTAATCCTCAGCATGTCCACCATTTCATTCTAAGTAAACTGCGGCTTATCTGAGCATACTAAACACTGAACAGCGAACCATTTGTCTGCCCATTCGCCTAGATTTGCCGGTGGTAGCGTAGGCGATTTGCAAGAAAGAATTTCGAACGAAATGGATAATTTGAGGCAGGACAGACAAATGTTGTTCGCCGTTCAGTGTTTATCATGCTCAGACGAGCCGCAGTTTGCTTAGAAAGAAATGGTGGAAATGTTGAGGATTAACATCAAGAATAAAAATCTTGTTATTAAATCGCCTCGTCTTCTTGTTCAGTTTCTCGCTTTAATTTATTCATTTGCCCAGCCTTGCATGAGATCGGTCACGCTAAAATCAACGATGCATTTAATCCACTGCGCGCAATGAAATATTTGTCACTTTTAGCGGTCGCGCGTTGCTCCCAGTTTGCATTATTTTTCCTGAAACTTTGACAGTTTATTAAAAAGCTTTCCTATTTTTAGACAGCTAAATAATATCTCAATTTCAGCTTCACATTTTAGCGCGCAAGCCCTCTCAATATCAGTGGAAAGGAACCACCCCTCCGGTAACATCATTTTGTTAATGAAAAACCAAACTTGGCCTAGGTATACCAGATAAGTCTTAACTATCTCTAGGAACACAAAAAAATGCCAAATTCTGCAAAATATCCTGAAAAACGGAAATTTTACTTTTGGGACATTTTTTTTTATACACCCTGTATATATATATATATATATATATATATTTGTTTTTCTACACAAGTATGACCAACCGGGCAAGCAGAAAATTCTACTTGACCGCGGTGGGATAATTTGAGGCACCGCGGTCAAGTAGAATTTTCTGCTTGCCCGGTTGGTCATACTTGTGTAGAAAAACAAATACACCTTACACATATATATCCACAAGTGACACATGGCTCAATTAAGAGCAAAAGTACAAAATATATATATATATTATATATATATATATATATATATATATATATAATATATATATTAATATATATATATAATATATATATTATACACCCGTTTGCAAAAACGTTGGCCGCAGATAGATAGATAGATAGATACTCGAAGTCTAATTAGAATTGCATATGATGACATTTGCATGGGATTTCAATCACATTACACAACATATGCAATTCTAATTAGATTTCGGGTATCTATCTATATATCTATCTGCGGCCAACGTTTTTGCAAACGGGTGTATATATATATATATATATATATATATATATATATATATATATATATATATATATACACCCATTTGCAAAAACGTTGGCCGCAGATAGATATATAAATAGATACTCGAAATCTAATTAGAATTGCGTATGTTGTGTAATATTATAGCAATCACATGCAAGTGTAATCATGTGCAATTCTAATTAGACTTCGATATATATATACATATATATATACATATATATATATATATATATATATATATATATATATATATATATATATATATATATATATATATATATATATATATATATATAAATATATATAATATATATATATATATATATATTATATATATATATATATGTAATATAATATTATATATATATATATATATATATATATAGATATATATATATATATATATATATATATATATATATTTTTGTATAAACTTGGGCTAAAGGTAACGTCAACTCAAATCTCGCTGCCACCTTGTGCCAAGCTTTGTTATCACGTGTTATCCTGTGGTCAGAAATCACGGAACCCCATTATATACAAACGAGACAACTTTAAAAACAAAGTTTGTTGACTTTATCCCATTGCCATTTACGCAAAAATGACGTACAGTGATCACGTCTCACTAATTTCCCAAAGTTATTAGAGCCGATCAGCCTTATTCTATCCTGTCACCCCTTGCAAACACTATGCGTCATTAGCCAGCATGTACCAGCATGTGGAAGTCATTATCCGTGATTCACAGCATGATCAGATTAAAGGGAAGCAATTTTCACTTTAATAGGAGGACATGCAAAAACACACATATATATGAACATTTGCAGAATTAACTGCAAAACGACATTTAAGGACGAAACTCCGTAATGTCAATAACAGGTTAAGTAAAAATCACTGTCGTTTCCAACTTGGCCTTGTAGCTCTGACGGTATAGAGCATCGTCTAGAATAGCGAAGGTCGCGGGTTCGATTCCCACCGCGGTCAAGTAGAATTTCTTCTTGCCTGGTTGGCTATACTTATGAAGAGGAACATATAAAACACACAACCTACACACACATATATATATATATATATATATATATATATATATAAATATATATAATATATAATATATAATATATTATATATATATATAATATATAATATATAATATATATATATATATATAATATATATATATATATATATATATATATATATATATATATATATATATATATATATATATATATATATATATATATATACATTAGCGAGGTATTGCATTTAAGGGAGAATGAAGCACGGTATGAACTATGAAATTTTTACTAATATAATAAAATTAGCCTTATTCTAACCAGTCACCCCTTGCAAACACAATGCGTCATTAGCCAGCATGTGCAAGTCATTAGCTGTCATTCACAGCGTGATGAGATAAAAGGGAAGTAATTTTTATTTCTATAGGAAGACATGCAAGACCATCAGTTATGTGTTTATTATACTATACGTGCATTATCCAGTGTGAAAATGGAGAAAAATAGGACGAAGCCAAATTGAGAAACTAGCTACATCATTTGCTTTCCATACAGCGAAAATATACAATCCTTAAGGTTATTTCGAACTTAGGAAAATACTAATCGAAATTTTACATTGTCATGAAGTAGACTATAAAACGATATTCAATACCGACAATTCGCGTGTTTTTTTTTTTAAAAACTAAAATTCAGTATTCAAACATATACGGAAAATCAAAAAGAAGAATATTAAACATTCTAAAACACAAAAAACCCGATTTCGTTTAAATGCAAGACTGAAAAGCACAATTATAGATAAAAACGTGTGGTCAAAAAGTTATATTAACGTTGAATACAATGAAAAGGCTATCCAGCTGTTTTTTCTTTTATACTACGAGCAACCTGGGTCAAAATGAATTTCAAGCTAAATAAAATTATTATGAAGCTATAGGGTAGGCCTAAATATTTCATGCCTAGTAACACAAGAACAATTTTCTGAGAGGATGGGGTCAGAAAGCCGCACTATCCTCTAGGTTATTAGAGAAAGCAGTTGTTTGTTCAAGCTGTTTTAAAATGTAAGAAATCTTTCCAAATATGAAACCAAAAGTAAATTCCTACACTATAGTCTTTACATAGGTATACAAGGCAGTTAGTTAACAGAGCATATAGTTCTTTTTATTCGAACTATAAACATTTTAAATATCCTGCTCAAATTGTTTTCAACATGTACTGTACTTACTTAATAGTATATTTTACATGAATCATTACATGCCCAAGCGGTTTTTAACTCAGTCGAACTTTAATAAACTTTCAGCCTATGATAATGAATTAAGATTGAAACTGTCCATTTTTGTGCGCAATACTTGTTTTAGCTCTTTGAAATTAACCCTTCCTTTCATATCGATACAAAATTTTTCATTCAAACTCAGCGTTAAATTGTCAAGTGACCCTAAAATACCTATAGTTCTTGGTGTGCACGCGCAAGGCTTTATTAAATGAAGTGGCAGACGAATTCAACAGAATTTTAGGAAATAGCAAGTAGCTTCTTGAACCGGAAAATATATATTTTTCCCGCGTGACTATAATGCCTGTCTATAGCGTATACGTCTATAAAAACATATACAAACTGAAAGCGGATTCACGTTTTGATGCGATGAAGCCGAAGCGAATATATAACGATATATATATGAAACGTTTTAGTAATGCCGCGGACAAACTAAGATGCTGCTTAATCCCACTGGCTTCAGAAACGCTCCCTCCACAGCAATGAACAATATAGCGACAAGCAGTCAAGCAAATGGCCATTGGATCATTTGGATGGTTGGTGCCGACCATAAACACAAGGTTTTATTAAACATAATAATACCTGCTGATCTACTAAATTGAAGTGCTGATGATGGCATTGGCATACGCTTTCAACAGAGTTTCAGGAAAGAGCAAGTAGCTATTTGAACCGGAAAATAATTTATATATATATATTTAGCAAAGTATGCCTCCTACTTTTAAATAAAGTGGATTCACGTTTTGATTTGACGAAGCGATATAAAACCTTTCAGTAATGCAGGATATCGAATGAGACGCTGATACCTAAATTAAATTAGCGCTTTGAATATGTTTAAAGTAAGCTAGAAAGTTGTTAACTCATGTCCAATCGAACGCTTCAACGCTTTCACGTCGCAATTTAACCCATGCAAGTTTAACCATTGTATTATTCACACAATTAATTTAATACGACTAGTATTTAGCTTAATAACGATTATTAGTTCCATTCGATACGTTTTACTAAACGGAAAATGATGCAATCAATGACTCACCTTTCAGGAAAGGTTGAGAAAAGATGAAGAAAAAATGTCAATATAAATGATTTCATCGTTAACTTTTGCCCAACCTTTGCTGTTGAACCGTGAACAATAATCTGATCATGTTCTTAAATAAATGTAACTTTATATGCCTATTGTCACTAATAGAATAATCACGTCTCGCTAATTTCCCTTTTAACAGACAAAGTCATCAAAGCTGATTAACCCTGATTGTATAATGTATCCAGCCACCTTTTGCGAACACAATGCGTTATAAGCCACAAAGTTCACAGCATTGTAAGCATGTGTGGATTGATTAGCTTTTCCCCCGCTGCGAGTAAGCCAATTGAGAAGTAAATATTATTGTAGGACAGACAGAAATGTCCAGAAATAACCTAACGAAAACCGCTGTTGATCTTGGTCAAACCTTGGCCTATCATTTTTGCTAGGGCTGCTTTCCATATACCTGTTTTTTAAACGCACGTATACACGCACGTATAGTCGTATAATCTCAAGTCACACGCACGTAAAAGTCTAAATCCTTACCCTTGTCATAATTATTTTGAAAAAGCTAGGTGAATAAATCGAAATAACTTAGTTTTCCATATACTTTAGTATGCATTTGTTGACAAATGTGTTATGCATTTGTTGACACATGTATTGCATGTTAAGTGTAAGGAGTAACGAGTGTTTTTGCTTGTGCTTTAGCCTGAGAAAGTTTATAAACGAAAGCAGATGAGAGCAGTCGTGAAGTTTTGATCAAAAGGCAGAATTTGCGTACAGACCTTTAATTTTGATCTCCCAGAATATGCGTGTCGTCGTTTAGTTTTGATTGAGTATACAGAATATACATGCATTTTGATTTAACTTTGATGAGTACACAACATATGCATGTGCTGTCGTTTAGCTTCGATCGAGTACGCTTAGAAAGGGTACAAACAGACTGACACTGAAACAAAAAATACGTGGTCGCACATCACAAATGACAAATACCTGCCATGCAGCCATGCAGGGTGCCCATTTTAAAACGCACTATCATTACAGTTTTTTAACGTAACGTGTCGTATGCCAGAAAAGGGCATTGGCAGTTGACAGAACATATAGGTTGATTTTTTAATAGAACTAAAAACCAAAACACTGATTGTATAGTAAATATCCTGCTCAAATTGTTTTCCGTATTTAGTTTCACTTTACTTAGCCATATAGTACGTACAATTTCCTGTAATTTCATGCATGTTATATATTTATTACAGATTAATCTGAGATTAATTTTATGCTATAAACAATTGCGCATTCAAGCAAGGCGCACACGACGTGATTTTTCACTATGCCTCATAAGCCACAAAGTTCACTGCATGGTGAGATTAATGGGAATCGATTTTCACTTTGATAGGAAGCTGGCCTATTTTTGGCGCGAATAGACAACAGCTGTGGACATTAGCATTTCTCCCGCTGGGAGGGAGTCAGGGAGTTCGCATTTTGTGAATTAGGAGTCAATATTGCGCTAGAAATTAAAATATTCCATATTGTTGTCCCAAACCGGGATCGCGTATAATGGACGGTGGAAGCAGGCCTGACAGCCACGTGAGCAGGTTGCCTATATTCACAGTAGACACAAAATGGTGCAAATCATAAAATCATTATTTTCTCCAGGCCCCTTCGCTTTCTCTTCGCCGCCTGCATTAGGCGAAGAATTCTTGAGCTGCAGCTATCTCGGTTATTTTTTAATGGCTGTTTGATGGGCTGGATAACGTAAATCTATTCAAATCGTTTCGAGACTGTTTCTTCACAGTGTTGCATTACCATCACGGTTAAATTTTGTCATATGTAATATTATTATTAACTCGCATTGCGCATGCGTGTGCAGGCGAGTTCTTAAAATGGGAAGCGTTCTTATTAATATTTTTATGTTCGAGAATTTCGCGACCCGCAAGGTGCGATAAGGTGCGCTCACCTGCAAGCCACGAGCTATGCAGGCGTGGTTGCTAAGCTAACGTGCATTCTGCACTGCTGAGTGCATTCGTTCATGACGTTCATCGTTTTCTTGTGGACAAAAGACGATAAAAATTCAAGATATTTCGAAATGTGGCTTCCAAGTGCCATGTTTATCTTAACGCTGACCTTACATACAACTGCACACGCCGAGCACAGTAGCCCTACACTAAAAGATGCCGAGCGTTTTCAACTCCATATCGCTATGAATTCTCTGATCAAACTGAATACAATCTCAAATCAATCTCACGAGTTCTCACTAGTACTATCTATTGAAAACAATACAACGACGTTGTCAATGAACTGTGTCATGACGTGCTACGAATATCTGAACATAGCCCTACGAATATTGTCATAGCCCTAGCTCGACTCAAGCAATGCCAGTTTAATGCCTAGCGGGCATCTTGTTTATTATATAATATGCAGTGTTTTATTGACGAGTCCGCCATTTTGAAAAGCGATAATAACGCATGTGCGAATATTCATGATATTAAAGCCGGTTTTCCACTAGCGATATTTTTCGCGCGAAGCGACATTTTACTTTTGTTTCAGAGCTCTCAACTGCAACCATCTGGAACAAATACAAAGGAATAAAGGCGGTTTTCCACTAGGCGGAATTTTTCGATCGAACGAAATTTTTCGCTCAATTTTCTTTTCAATTGTGAGAAGTCGACCGAAGCGGATTCGCTTGACCGACCACAATTCAAAAGAAAATTGAGCGAAAAATTTCGTTCGATCGAAAAATTCCGCCTAGTGGAAAACCGCCTTAAAGTCGCTTCGCGCGAAAAATATCGCTAGTGGAAAACCGGCTTAAAGCCGGTTATCGTGTTTGATCCACCGATGTGGAATCAAGAAGGGGGATAAAAAACTTTTCAAAAAAACAGTTTTTATTATATAATAAGCAAAATAACACATGGATGCTTGGAAATATGGAATTTATTTCTCGTGTTGAGAAAGATATCTCACTCATTCGCTGCGCTCACTCGTTCGATATCATTCTCAACACTCGAAATAAATTCCATATTTCTGCGCGTCCATGTATTATTCTCTATAATACACACCATCGAGTTCTACTGATGAATGGATATTATTTATAGACTTTTATTCCATTTTTTTGGTTGTTTTTTAAAATTGTGTATTTATATTCATTTACTTTTAATTCCTGTATAGCGAATCCTATCGTGCAGATAGCTTTTTTTAATTTTTTTATTTTGCATTGCTTCAAATCGACCGGTATGATTTGCAAGCCTAGCTCACAATTAGCTACAACTCATGGAGCAATTCTATTTATTTATTACTGAAATGAAATGGCATTATGAGAAAGTATGTTACCTAAAAATTCCGTTCAATCAGCAAATAATAAAAGCTATCGTTTTTAAATTACGAGGGAGCGCATTTATCTAACTACAATTTAGCCGCAGATCTTGATGAAACATCATTAATAAGCTGGAACTCGGAACATTAGATTTGTAGATTGGCGATCAACTCGATGTTATTTAAACTAACCGGCTCTTAAACAACTGGTTACTAAGCTAGCTGTGATAGCTTGCATATCCTGGAGTTCTGCGCACGGGTACCGTGAGGAAGTTAATTGAAGCAAAACAATATGACACCTACATTCTTTGCTGGAAAAGCGTTCAACCAAAAGTGATAGCTTATAATAGATCATATTATTGCCTGGTTATTATTTTGAAAATATATTTTGCTGCTCTGCGTGTACGTTAAGTTTAAGGTGGTGGCAAAGGTGGCAGGAATGTATCCTAGCCTTACTAGCTAAATCTCTGCATGCCCCCGCCACAAAAACTGTTTTCTTCGCCCCGGCATGCATGAATATAGTGAATTAAATAAAGCACATACTTCTTTATTTTCTTGTCGAAACCCTTAGCTTAGATCGAAACTTTCAGAATTTCGGATTTTTTTGCGTATAATAGCTATTTGATATAGCTATATATATATATATTTACACAACACGTATATGATGCTGAAAATTGTAAATCAAAGATCTAATAAGGTCTGGGCTTTTACGGTCGAGTTGACAATCAAATAAAACATAATAATAAAAATTAAAGACTTCGCTGTGTATACTGTACATAGTGGAATGATTTGAAGTTGGATTTCAGTTTTCCAGCGCAGCGTTAAATGTCGTCCTCTTTGCGAAACACCATTTTGATAACCTCAAAGCTGTCCATTGTAAATCCGACGGTGTTATATAAAAACAAACGATTGTTGTTCCTGTCTCCTGAATACGTTTGCGGCGATAAGGTTGCGTTAAAACCCTTTTAGACCATGCGTCATATTTCCCACGAACCGAAAGAAGCCTACATTTAACAGACGCCAAAACGCACAGTTTGTAACAAGTCTGTAAATAGTTTGTTCACAAGCTGACAACAAGATGTGTTCACATTGCTTAATCCAAGTCAGTGTAGCTTGCGACAAGCTGTCAACAAAATGTCACATTGCTTGCTTCTAGTTGTTGTAACAAGTCTTGACAAGTTGTTGACAACTTGTGGCAAAGTGCGGTGACATTTAAATTTCAAATTATACTCTTAGGCCGAAGTTACCTCCGTCGGAATATTATCATAAAGTTTATAATATGTTACATGTTTGCAGGGAGTTTTTTAGGTGTATTTTATCATCATGAGAGCTTTATTTAAGTCCCAACAGGAGGGAAAGTAAAGTAAATATTTAGCTATTTAATCATAGAAAGTTGCTGGGAAATCATAATGCACTTGCGAATTAATAAGCTATCTAAACGTTATATTTGTAGTTTGGTGGCATCTCGGCTTTAATTAAACTGACTGGATGTTGAAGAAGGTTGCTTCCATGCTGTGTTGGACGACATATCCCGGAGTTCTACGCACAGTACAACCAGAAAGTTCATTGAAGCGGAACAATATGACACCAGAAAAATATTCAACCAAAATACGAACTGCATGAATATCCATAACTATTCCTATATTCATCACTAAAAATATGCTTCAATTTTATATTTATTTCATAATAAAAATGATCATTTTGAAAGTGAATCGTACTGATGATGAAGGCCTATGCAAACATCTTTCATTTCTTCTCATTTGGGTTAAAATCAATCATCCGGATAAATGACATCAACGCTAAAACATTTGAAAGCTGAAGTTTTATAAGATGGGCATGTCAGAGATAAGAAGCAATCCTTCTATCTTCGTCTTCGCGCCGGTAAAGTTCTTTGCAGCGCGAGTATCTGGATCACTGTTTTTCCAAAATTTAGGAGAGGAATTGAAGTTATTGTTCACAGAAGATAAAGTAAGGGTAACACTGCCTTAACAGTCCAGT